TCTCTCTCCCTCTCTCTCTCTCTCTCTCTCTCTTCTCTCTCTCTCCTCTCTCTCTCTCTCTCTCTCTCTCTCTCTCTCTTTCTCTCTCTCTCTCTCTCTCTCTCTCTCTCTTCGCTGCGGCTGCCTGCCTGCTCAGAAAACAAAACCGACCACTTGAGGAACACAGACTCTTTACCGACAGCACCGGGACCGGACCGGACCGGGACACAGGATCAAATAAAGCCCACAGAGAGAGAGCGACAGGCAACATGACGGAGACCGCCAAAACCCACGTCATCCTGCTGTCCTGCGGCAGCTTCAACCCCGTCACCAAGGGACACATCCATATGTTCGGTGAGCATCCTCTGCGTGGCTGGGGAAGGGAGGGGTTTGTGTGTATGTGCTAAATAAGAATCACCTGGAGCCTGGATGAAAGTAAAACACACCTGAGCTTAAAAAAACGGACAATCAGGGACGAGGTTTTGGTCGCTGTCCAGCAGGGTGGTGCTGAAACGGGCCACGGTTCACATCCGGCGCGATATTCAGGCAACTCAGAGAGAACCCCCCTGATTAATCACACATTCACGGTAAAAGGGAGCCTCGTTAATCTCAGCCTCGAGCCGCTTTTTAAGACGTTAAACGCGGAAATGTTCCGTTGAAGCCCCAGCAGGCCGCACGCAGCGTGTGGCGCAGCCCAGAAATGACGCCTCCCTGACGGCTCCTCCAGAAAGCAGCTCGGCCTCTCGGTCAGAGAAAGTGCAGATTAGTGATTCACGTCATCACATGTATGTGTTTTTAACATGTTTAAATGAACACGTGTCTCTGTGGTAGTGACTTAATAACCTTTGATCATGATAAGACAAGTCTCAGTTTGAAAGCTTAAATCTTTGATTATGATGTCATCATGCTGCCTCCAGTAAATAAATCATTGGTATAATAATGGACAGATAACGATCCAAAGGGGGCATTATTTTTTAAATTTTGAAACAGCGATACAGCCTTAAAGCCGGAACTCTTAATTTACACCAATCCTGTAGAGCTGTGGTTCTCAACTGGTGGGGCGGGACCCATAGGTGGGTCACAGATCCATTTTCAGTGGGTCACGAATGTGTGTTGTGTAAGACTGAACAAAGTCTAGGCTTTGTTCAGTTTCTTGCTTCTGTCACATGTTTGGTTCCGACTGAGGTCCAAACTTTCCAGGTCCCATTTTCCAGTAAATAGATCCGATCGGTCGAAAAGTTTCAGAAATTTGGATCGTGATTTTCCCCTTGAGGAGTTCGCTGTTTGCTTTTCTTCCTAAACCTTCCGCCATTGTTGTAGCGGCTCGCAGTCACATCTCCATACGACTCGACGCTGCCCCTAGTGGTTAAAACCGCCGCAGGATACGCAAGGCTGATGCCATGCGTTATCTTAGTTAGAAGCAGGTTCACTCCGGGCTTTAAAGGCTGCCGGTGTTGATATTTTGTAAATGTGATGGATTTGTTCTGTATAAAATATTAAAAACTTAAGTTATGATAAATACAGAATCAGGCGAGTGAACACTTAATGACATGTTTGCACTTCCTGTCGACCACTGGGTAAAGTCATATAAAAAAAACATTTCACAGTTATTGTTGTTTAGTAGAGCAGTTTTATATCTGGAGCCAGTAACGCTTCTTACTTTGGTACCATGGCAATGATGAACACTAGGGGGCAGCAATGTTTAGTATCAAGAGCCTGCTGTGTTTTCTATTTGGAGCCGGTGATGTTTCTTACTGTGGTACCAGAAACATTTTTCATTTGTGGTGCAGTCAATGTTTTGTACAAGGGGCAATAAATTGTAATTTGTTATGTGTCGTACTTTGGTGCCAGCAGTGTTTTGTAAATACATTGTTGAGAATTATTAAGTGTGCTAAAAGACTAAAACATGCATCTGGTTGGTCCAATGTCGTGATGTCCCTAAATATCTATCTATCTACATGGTGTTGGCATTGTTTTGTATATGCTACTGGAAGTTTTCAATAGGTGGAGCCTGCTGTGTTTTATATTTGGAGCCAGCAACGATTCCTCATTCACGGTGCAGGCGATGTTTTGTACGTTGTGTTACGGCCTCCTTTTCAAACTGATTAAAAGGAACAAAAGTGCTGAGCCAACCACGCAATGAGCCATCACTCTCAGTACCCCCCCCCCCAAAAAAAAAACTACCTCAGAATTAAACTGAGCTAAGAGAAAACAAAAGAAGAGAAAAAACAAAGACAGCCCACTAAAACAACTAAAACCTAGAATCTTTTTAAAGATTTAATTTTGGCCATTTTGTGCCTTTATTAGAGTCGGATTTGAACCTGGGCCGCCCACTTGGAGGCCTACAGCCTCCATACATGGGGCACGCACTCTAACCACAACCTCACCAGTGCCCCAAAAACTGTGCAATCTTAACATGCACAGGAATACATAAATAGCTTTTTTTGGGGAATAAGAGAAGAAACTTTGCCAAGCTTAATTTAAATCTGTTAATGGGTCATTTGATTTATGGAGGTGTGGTTTCAGTACTATCTCAGGGTTGGCTACGGCGGTCAGGGAGGGGTTCATGTGAGATCTGCTCATGGGGTCCAGATGTCCTGGAGACGCCCCTGAGTGTGGGGTTGATTGTTAATCTGCAGTGAGATGTCTCCTGCTGACTCATGATGACCTTTAGGACCACAGGGACAGAAACAAACCAGAGTCCTGCTCTAAGAACAGGATCGTGGCTGTGGTTTCAGAGGCTGTGACGAGGTGTTATGATTCTGTTTGAGACATTTTTAAACCCGAACACACGAATAGTGCTGAGTTTAGATTCTACCAAGTAAATCCAGCCGTTTGCAAAGTGTTTGATTTCCCTCTGAAACGCAGTAAGAGTCGCACGAAATATGAATTCACAGCAGCTGAGTGAGCGTGCTTTGCTGTGTGTAATGATGCAGCTGCAGCACAGCAGCCATGTTCCCATCATGACCTATTTTCACCAGCAGCTCCTTCATCTCTGTGTCTTCCTCGGGGCCATGAAACCTCTTTATGAAGCGTTTTCTCCTCAGATGGAGGACAGGAAGCAGAGATGATTTCAGCACACAATAAAAGACGATGATTTTAAAGAAGAATTCTGGATTCATGAATTCAGATTTTAAGCAGATTTTTTAATCCTGCAGCATGTAAACAGGCTGCAGCAGGTAAACAGGCTGTAACGTCTGCAGCAGGTAAACAGAGTGTAACGTCTGCAGCAGGTAAACAGGCTGTAACGTCTGCAGGTAAACAGACTGTAACGTCTGCAGCGGGTAAACAGACTGTAACGTCTGCAGCAGGTAAACAGTCTGTAACGTCTGCAGCAGGTAAACAGACTGTAACGTCTGCAGGTAAACAGGCTGTAACGTCTGCAGGTAAACAGACTGTAACGTCTGCAGCGGGTAAACAGACTGTAACGTCTGCAGTGGGTAAACAGGCTATAACGTCTGCAGGTAAACAGACTGTAACGTCTGCAGGTAAACAGACTGTAACGTCTGCAGGTAAACAGAGTGTAGCGTCTGCAGCAGGTAAACATACTGTAACGTCTGCAGCATGTAAACAGACTGTAACGTCTGCAGCATGTAAACAGACTGTAACATCTGCAGCGGGTAAACAGGCTGTAACGTCTGTAGCGGGTAAACAGAGTGTAACGTCTGCAGCAGGTAAACAGACTGTAACGTCTGCAGGTAAACGGACTGTAACGTCTGCAGTGGGTAAACAGGCTGTAACGTCTGCAGCGGGTAAACAGAGTGTAGCGTCCGCAGCGGGTAAACAGACTGTAACGTCCGCAGCGGGTAAACAGACTGTAACGTCCGCAGCGGGTAAACAGACTGTAACGTCCGCAGCGGGTAAACAGACTGTAACGTCCGCAGCGGGTAAACAGACTGTAACGTCCGCAGCGGGTAAACAGACTGTAACGTCCGCAGCGGGTAAACAGACTGTAACATCCGCAGCATGTAAACAGACTGTAACGTCTGCAGCGGGTAAACAGACTGTAACGTCCGCAGCAGGTAAACAGACTGTAACGTCTGCAGCAGGTAAACAGACTGTAACGTCTGCAGCAGGTAAACAGACTGTAACGTCTGCAGCAGGTAAACAGATTGTAACGTCTGCAGCGGGTAAACAGAGTGTAACGTCTATGTCACACTTTAGCACGAGCCTCTCAGACCAAACAACCTGCACGCCTCGCCTCCCCTGAATTGTACTCTTTTGCATCTTTAAAAACACAAAAACTTTTTCTTTGAGTCTCTGAAACATTCAGAAAGTTTCTCCTCACCATTAAACTTTGGCAAGAAGTCAGACAAAAACTCTCCATCAGTCAACCTCTCTGTCGCCATGGAAACCAACGTTTCAAAGTATCACTCGCTAAACAAAAAGTCTTGTTGGCGAAGCAGACGACGCCGTCGAAGCACAGATTTCAAAATAAGAGCCCGCAGCTACGGGACAAAAGAAGCTGCTGAAGGGTCGGTCTATTGTTCAAAGTTGTTAATTTAGTTTTAGGGTTTAACTGATAGTGGCAGCCTGAAGACACAACTGAGGGATTTCAGCCCGTTCTGCCTTCATATCCAATAATCTGAGACCAGAACAGAGGGCTGCACCTTCGCCCCCTTCACTCATACTGCTTACTTCCTAGTTCAGCTGCTTCACGTATGAATAACCATCGACTGGAGGTCAGACTACAGACTACTGTCCAACGCAGTAGTATGCAGTATTTCACTAACAAGGACCACACTAAGATAGATAATGATTTAGAATAGTTTTATGTTGTATGCATGACGGAGATCGAAAAATGATGAGCGAGGTTGGATGATGGGTAGATTGAGGGTGGCGGGATGTGGGGTGAAGGTGGGGGGGGGTAAGAGTTGAGGGACGAAGAGATGGAAGTAAGGGGATGAATGGATGAATGGAAAGTTTGGGAGGTGAATGGAAGAAGGAAATGGTCTTGTGTCAGCCGATGTAGGTACAACGTGAGGGAACCAGAGGGTATGTAGTTGGCGGTTTCTGTACAGGATTTGAACGTCTTCTTCTTCTGATGAATGTCCGGCAGGTTGTAACTGTAAAGTGTGATGCTGCCCCCGGAATCAAGAAGTTTCTCCTGCAGCGCCTCAACCTTTTCAATCAGAAATGTCAGTGAAAAGAAGTACAGTTCAGGCTTCACTTCTCCTGTGTGAATGCGCCGCACCAAACACTGACATTGGGGCGGTAATTCCCGAGAGATTCTGATATAATTAATGTGAACCGGATGATTTTTCAGAAACGTTACAGAAGTTGTTTGCTACAAGATTCATTCTTCGTTCAAACACAAAGAAGTGAACGTCTGGTTCATGTTGATGTCATAAATATTGAGCATTTTAAGACTTTTGAGCATGGGGCCAGAGCTGAAGTGTTTGTTGTTGGGTGAAAAGATGAAGAACACCGTCATGTTTTCATGTTTTTCATGTTTGTGTTTTTGTGTGTCTGCAGAAAAAGCCAGAGAGTACCTGCACAAAACAGGTCGTTTCATCGTGATCGGAGGAATCATCTCTCCGGTGCACGACTCCTACGGAAAACCTGTGAGTGAAAACATCAGCTTTATACTCACACGCGCACACACACACAAATGCACACACTCACACACAGGTTTAATATCCTCCGAATGAAGCAGAGAAAACGTGAGTTCAGACATCTGATCGTGTGTGTCATATAATGAACATATTACTGATGACATCATATCCAGCAGATACCAGTGTGTGTGTGTGTGTGTGTGTGTGTGTGTGTGTGTGTGTGTGTGTGTGTGTGTGCTGTTGTTTCCTACTGAAGTTAATGAAGCTCTTGTCCTACTTTTGCTGTGCAGCTGCAGAAACACATCATGAATAAAAGATGCTGCAGAAACAGTTTCACTCATTGCTTCTCTCTGCAGACGTGATTTCAGCACGAAAACGTTACACAGAACTATATAACTGTTTGTTATTGGTGGAGATTAGAAATATCAATCATTGACTTCTAAATATGTTATCACCGCCGAAACAAACAGGTGACTCTTAACACCTCACAGACCGATAAACAAACTCTGAGGTCAGCTAAAGGTAATTATTTATGATGATTATTACGCTGGTTTCCATAGCCCTTTTTTATTTTACTAAACTAATCTGAGACCCCTGGGGATAGAGAAATGAGGCCATTGACGAAGTGCCACAACCTGCAGTTCCTCCAGTGTCCTCTAGAGTCTGTCTCCTGCAGTGAGTCAGTCCCCATAGAGCCCCATGTTAAAATGTCCAACTTTACAGCTGCAGTTCCTCTAGTGTCCACTAGAGTATGTCTCCTGCAGTGAGTCAGTCCCCATAGAGCCCCATGTTAAAATGTCCAACTTTACAGCTGCAGTTCCTCCAGTGTCCACTAGAGTATCTCTCCTGCAGTGAGTCAGTCCCCATAGAGCCCCATGTTAAAATGTCCAACTTTACAGCTGCAGTTCCTCTAGTGTCCACTAGAGTATGTCTCCTGCAGTGAGTCAGTCCTCATAGAGCTCGATGTTAAAATGTTTAACTTTACAGCTGCAGTTCCTCCAGTGTCCACTAGAGTCTGTCTCCTGCAGTGAGTCAGTCCTCATAGAGCTACATGTTAAAATAAACATGTTTACATCCTGGCAGGGGTGGAGCAGCGATTTTAAAAGTGCGGGTGTTCTAATGTTAGTATATTAGCACCCTCTAACAAATCAAAACATTCTGTTTCATTACATGTCCAATAACTAATGTTAGCTGACACATCACACAACAAGACAAAGTTACAAAAGATAGTTAGACACTAACTTTATGAACATCCATTGTGAGTAACCCAGTTAGCTTAAAGGCTTTATATGTGATTTTTTTGATCCAGCAGATGTCGCCCTTGAGCACCAGCATGAAACCAAAACAACTTGCGCTGCATTGTTGTGTTAGCATGCTAATGCTAGCGATCTTTATTATGCTGGTATCTTCACACTGCATGTAAATTTACCTGAAATGAGCGTGATCTAGAAACACAGTTAAGCAGTGAGTACAGTATGTTATTCTTCTTTTCTCTAGTCCCTCAATTAAACAACTTTTATACACGAAGGGGAGGAGTCAGCCGGCCGTCCTGGCGATGTAAACAAACTGAAGATAGGACTCTGAAAACTCTGAAAACATCACAGACAGTGGGACTCGGGTGTTACACCCATTGTAGACAGTCATGACTCACAGAGTTATTTTCAGAGGAAAATTTCTATTACATTTAAGTGTGAAAAATCACTTATAAAGCCTTTAAGCTCTAAAAACCAGATTGAAAACTGCTCTTTGTGATGCTTTTATTTTGCTTACCGTATTGCTGTATGCCTCAGTCTCTTTATGTCCGGTCTTCATATATAATGTGCTTTTATTTTGAAAAACTGCAAAGGGGAATTCTGTTACATCGTAAAGTTACGGGAGTAAACAAATACAGCTAAAAGAACAACCAAGAGGAGAAAATGTTACACTTACGTTGTTTTGTGAGGTGGATTTATCTTAAAAACATCTTTCAGAAGGATGCTACATGTAGCATGTATTAATTTGTTAGCTCTGAGCTCTGACTCAACCAGTTATGAGTGACAGGAGGATTAAATCCACGTAACTTTACCGTGCTTCAACTGTAACCGAACAGCTATGATTGGCTTAATTGTCACTTAATAAATCTTACGTGACCAATAGGTTTTCATCAATGACTCCACTGGTAAAAAGTCATCGCAACATCCGCAACACCCACGGGTGAGACGCGCATCCTGTTTACATTATATCAAGGCTTAATGGTATGTAAAATTAGGGGGCGTGGCCTCTTTGAGTGACAGGTGGGAGCTGCAAGCTGTGTTCTAAGTGTCTCCTCAGCTAATTCAGTCCGTGACCTTTAACCTCTTGGCCGTGTTTGTTCTGTGGGAGCCTTTTCGAGATTTATTCATGTACATATCAGACAAATAATCTGACGTCACAGTGGCTAGTCCAGGTGTGCCAAATGACTACGCCTGACAGGAATTGGACTTGACAGACTGTAGATTCTCCACTGCTGTCACTCAGTGGTGACGGATCAACAGGAGCTCCACAGCTGAAACAGAACGCCGGGACTGTAAATTATGGAATCTGTCCAGAAGATGTCAGTGTTGTTGAGCCGCTAATGATCTCAAAGTTATTTTATGAACCTTGAACCTGATAAACTGTAGCTCTAGAGAACATGGATTAATAATTAGTGATAAATCTCTTCCCCCTTAGCTGACACACCTGAGACAACCTGGACAAAGGTTGTTATTCTGCGACACTGAGAGAGGACGCACTGACGGACTGACATTTAGATTCACCTTCAGAGCAAAACCAGACAACTGCAGGAGAGAAAACTGGGAAAACGAGAAATACAAGGATACTGGAAATATCTGCACTTTAACCTGAAACTGAATCTACAAACTGGATGAGAAATTAAAAAGAACAAAGAATACAGATCGGAATAACTTTCAGTGACAGGGAGCAAGTATCAGTTGTTTGTCTGCTGCGTCTTCAGCTCGACTCTGAGATAAAATGGCGTCCAAGTTAGAGGAAAATCTGAGCTATCCAGTCTGCCTCGAGATCTTTAAAGATCCAGTCATCCTCTCCTGCTTCCACAGCTTCTGTAAAGACTGTATGCAGAGCTGCTGGAAGGAGAAGGAGAATAAGGAGTGTCCAGTTTGTAGAAAACAGTCAAAGAAAAGAGTACCTCCAAACTTTGCTTTAAAGAACCTGTGTGAGAGTTTTGTGCAGGAGAGAGATCAGAGAGCTTCAGAGGATCTCTGCAGTCTGCACTCTGACAAACTCAATCTCTTCTGTCTGGACCATCAGGAGCCGGTGTGTGTCGTCTGCATTACTTGAGAAAAACACAGCAAACACACAATCAGACCCATCGATGAAGCTGCTGGACAACACAAGAAGAAACTTCAGGAAACTCTGGAGCCGGTAAAGAAGAAGTTAAATGTTTGTGAAAAAGTTAAAGTGAAGTTTGATCAAACAGCAGAACACATTCAGGTCCAGGCCCGACACACAGAGAGGCAGATTAAGGAGCAGTTTAAGAAGCTTCACCAGTTTCTAGAAGAGGAAGAGGAGGCCAGGCTGTGTGCACTGAGGGAGGAAGAGGAGCAGAAGAGTCAGAGGATGAAGGAGGAGATGGAGGCTCTGAGCAGAGAGATAGCAGCTCTTTCACACACAGTCAGAGACACAGAGGACGAGCTGAGAGCTGAAGACGTCTCATTCCTGAAAAACTACAAGGCTGCAGTGGAAAGAGTCCAGCAGCGCCCCCTGCTGGAGGATCCACAGCTGCCCTCAGGAGCTCTGATAGACCAGGCCAAACACCTGGGCAACCTGAGCTTCAACATCTGGAACAAGATGAAGGACATGGTCTCCTACACTCCGGTCATTCTGGACCCAAACACTGCTCATCCAGTCCTCATCCTGTCTGAAGATCTGACCTGTGTGAGACCAGGAGAGAGACAGCAGCTTCCTGATAATCCAGAGAGGTTTAATCATAACTGGTCTGTCCTGGGCTCTGAGGGCTTTAACTCAGGGACTCACAGCTGGAACGTCCAGGTTGGAGACAATACATACTGGTTACTGGGTGTGTTAGCAGAGCCTGTAAAGAGGAAGGGAGACAAATGGTCTTGATTTTGGTTAATATGTTTCTGTGATGATAAATATGAAGCAGTCTCCACATCACATCCTGACACTGATCTCTCAGTGAAGAAGAAGCCTCAGAGGATCAGAGTGAATCTGGACTGTAACAGAGGAGAGCTGTCGTTCTCTGATCCTGATACTAACACACACATACACACCTACACACACACTTTCACTGAGAGGATGTTTCCATTCATTAGCACTGGTGATAAACTAAAGATTTTACCAGAGAAGATCTCTGTGACTGGAACACTAATACATGATGATGATGATGTTCTGAATCTTCGTCTCTGATTCTCTTAGGGTATTGTGACTGCGTTGTCATGGTGATGGTGATGTTGTTTTATTAAATCATTCATTATAACTTTGAGTATTTCCACAGCAGGTAAAATCTTGATCCTAATTGGTTGGTTTGTTGGAGTCTATTTAAAGATAATCTGCTCAGCGTGTTAACTGGTTAACTGTCATCTGTTGCTTCAGCTGCTGTGAACATTTGATTTCTGACTTTTTCACTTGAACTCTAAGGAGTCCCTGAAGGCATCATCTGTATCTTTGTGTGCATTATGAGTTATTATCCTGCATGGAGAGAATAAAACAGTAATGATTATTATCTGATCTGAAATCACTCTACAGTTGTAGAATAATAACTTCAGATCATCACGTTTTACTCTTCTTACTAAATCGTAGTTCCATCTTTAATCTTGTTGGTGTAGTCAGGGCTGTAACCAGGGTTTAGAAAATAGTGATGTTGGGCCACGCAGGCTTAGGACAGTCAAACAATGGACTTGGGCCTGCACCTCTGTAAAAGCCTCATTTGAGTTATTCACTGAGATCACAAAGAGGCCTAAAAGGACTCTTAATCCCAGAATCCCCTGCGGTACTTCACACCTACGCGTGAA